GAGGCGTTCAATATTGACACAGGTAAACAGTACCAAGCAAGTCGAAAAATTCATTTACAAAAAAAAGCAAAATTTAACGAAAAATGCCAATATCTGGCTGCACAAATATCAAAGAAAAAATAACCTCTAAAGATGAACAAATTCAACAAAATGGATCTTTACTAGCTGGTAGATCCTCCTCTATTGTTTATGACTTCTCTGCTTCTGTTCCCCATATTGGTAATGATATTTCTGGGGCAGAACAGTGCACTTCTGGATGAGAACAACTCTGAGACCATGGACAGACATAGGAGCAGGTTGTCTGACTCTTAACTGCTCTCCCTAGCAAGCGGCCCGGCATGGCCAGGTGGTTAGGGCGCTCAACTCGCAATCTGAGGGTCGCGGGTTCGAATCCCCGTCACACCAAACATGCTCGCCCCTTTCAGCCGTGGGGGCGTTATAATGTGACGGTCAATCCCACTCTTCGTTGGTAAAAGAGTAGCCCAAGAGTTGGCGGTGGGTGGTGATGACTAGCTGCCTTCCCTCTAGTCTTACACTGCTAAATTAGGGACGGCTAGCGCAGATAGTCCTCGTGTAGCTTTGCGCGAAATTCAAAAACAAACAAACAAACAAACCCTAGCAAGTACCACACCTATTCAATAGTGGTGACTTAGCAGGCCAGTCTAATACCTCTATTCATTCATTCTGAAAAAAATGCTGTCAGTGTGAGGACGGCCGTTATCCTGCTGATACACAAACTCATCTCAGACAGCACCAGCGAACAACGGGTTGGAGGATCTCATCCACGTAAAGTCTTGTTACCAGGGATCTTCCATTCACCACAGAGAGATCCGTACACCCCTGTATACAGATGCCACCCCCAAAAAGCATCATGGTGGACAACGTTACAGGCTGAATATCGCTCTTCCTCACATCTCCGGACTCTCACACATCAATCACTTGAAGATAGATAGAACCTGCTCTCATCTGTGAACAGTAAAGGGGCCCATTGCTGAAAGAACCAGCTTACATGTTCCTGGGCAAACGTCAATCGGGCTGTTCGGTGCCTTGGGTTTAGTACAGGGATTCTAACTAGTATCCTGGATCTGATCCCACCCGCATGGAGCCTGTTTGTAGCCGTTAAGCACGATACGCACACTCCAGCGGCTTGCTGAAGCTCGTTCCTGAGGCCCCTAGCGCTGCTAGTGTAGTTTCTAAAGGATAAAATCCGCAAATATCGGTCGTATACTGCACGTTTAGCCCTTCTGCGACCCTGGCCTGGTATCTGTGCCACAGCTGATCTACTGACCACTGATGTGACACCCCCATAACCTGTGCCACAACTGATCTACTGACCACTGATGTGACACCCCCATAACCTGTGCCACCTCAGTCTGGGTGTAGCCCTCTTGAAGCAGCGTGACGGCTTTGCAAACTTCAGTTTCAGGTGGTTTCTAAAAGCTTTCACACTCTTTGCAAAAGTCAACAGTAGTAAAAAGTCCATAAACACGTCATTATCTCCACAGTAAACCTCATTCCTATTGAATCAAAATCAGCCTTTTGCTTTGCAGATTGTGTATAATTTCTCATAAAGGCCTATTACATAAGTAATCATTGGTGCATTAACTTGTAAACTCTAGGTAGGATTAGTGTGGTCCTATACAATAGGCATGCGAAGTTTTAAATATGATAATCTAAAAGCTCACTATCCTTTGGAACAGACCCCTTGTTCTTATGTCTTGATATACATATATATTACCCAATTAATATTTTAATGTATATTAAAACACATTTTAAAACTACAGTACCTGGTTAATAATAACATGAATACGCCAGTTTTCGAACAAAATAGAGGCAAGTTTAATACCCATTTTTTTTTATTATAACTTAAATAACACTTTGTAAATTATAAAAAGATTGAAATACACACACAACTTGAAGATGAATTCCAAACCAGCTGTTGCGTCAGCGAGGTCACGTGACTAGTATCACGCCACTCCTTCTCTCGAACCTTCGTGAATTATCGGGAGATTACTAGATTGGGGGTAGGCTGGTATATATAAGATGGTCACAACGTGACAGGAACAGTGTAATGAGTAATTGAACTGCAGTCAGATAGTATTGTTGAAGTTGAGTACGTGAGAAGTTCGTTGAGAATTACAATGTTTGTTACAGAGCGACTGTTGAAATTAAGTGTATCGTAAAGTTGTATTCAGAAAGAATAAACCAGCTTTATTTAAGAAAGGACTTGTGTCGCTAAAGTTTCGTCGGAACGAAGTTACGGAAAATCAACTAACGACTGGAGGCGTAACACAGCCTTATTTTGCTAAGTATCTTAAAATATAGAACCATCTTGTCAATTGTATTAATTAAATTGTGTTCGTTTAAAAATAATTTTACTGAAAGACTGGATGATAGTCTTAAATCCTGATTCCTAACAATACATCTAACAGTTAATAACCAACCTTGTTTGCCAACAGAACACACGGTACTTCACTTCCATCAGGTAAGTGGACTTTGTTGTCCAAGTCGTTTTTCCATTTCATAACAGCATCGAACGTAGCTGTTCTCGTTACATCAAAAACAATAAAAGCCCCGACAGCTTCCTTGTAATAAACTCTTGTCATGTTCCCAAACCTTTCTTGTCCTTTAAAAATATATAAATACACGTACTTGTAAGAATGTTTAGGTAAAAATCCAGGTCACATATCGTACAGTGAATTTTGAACAGTTAATTCTCCAAACTATATATGGTACTGTAACAGTGCAAGTTATACTCTGTCGTTTGTAATTACAGCACGGTTAAGACTGAATCTTCAGATAAGTTACGTTACTTGCGCCCTCGTGTGGCAATTCAGGTGAATGATTAAATAGCCACAATATTTCATAAAAATGAGGCTAAAAATACAAGTGCAAAGTTTGTATCTAATGAGTACTTACCAATCACAGGTACTCTTCCACTGTAATCATTTAAAGAGTTGTTTGCTTTAGATTAAGTATCTAGAATCATTGTTCTAAAAGTTTTCTTATCATAAATTTAAACAAAGTCATAATATCAGTACCTGCAATATCCCATAACTGCAGCCGAATAAGTGTGTTCGAGTCCCAGTTGAGTACTTTCAAAGCAAAATCTACTCCAATCTGTTGAACAGACGTTAGGGAAAAACAGATAAAAATAACTAATTTATCGTGAGCAGAATCGTTTGGGGATTGAACCAGGATCCAAAGACTTCTTAATGTAACAAACTCATTGTATAAACATTTTCTTAAATAAAATTTACCAAAATTTAACTTTTTTTTATAGGTACTTAAAACAGATGACAGAAACGTTTTTACGTTACTGATAGGCCTAGTTGAGTTATGAAACGTAAACAATAGCTCTCCGAATATGAACAAATCAAGAATAGTAACCACTAAATTTTATAAGTAAACTTTGACAATTTTTAATACGTGTTATCCAATGCTCTAAAGTAATCAGTAATAATATATTATTATTAACACATATTCTTTTTAAAAACTTGCCAATTAAAACATTCCTCAGTGGTTCAGCAGTAAGCTTGAGGGCTTATAACGCTGAAAATCGGGTTTTATTAATCGCGATGGGCAAAGCACAGATAGCCCATAATGTAGCTCTGCGCTTAAACACAAATAAGGAAGTGTCATATAAAAATTAACAATGAATATTCTTAATCTTTCGCTAGGGTAGAAGTCATTCATTCATTGATGTTCCTAGAATCCTTAACCCTAGAGACGATATTTCCTTCAATCTGCCCATACAATTACTTACAGAATCCTTAACCCTAGAGACGATATTTCCTTCAATCTGCCCGTACAATTACTTACAGAATCCTTAACCCTAGAGACGATATTTCCTTCAATCTGCCCGTACAATTACTTACAGAATCCTTAACCCTAGAGACGATATTTCCTTCAATCTGCCCGTACAATTACTTACAGAATCCTTAACCCCTAGATACGATATTTCCTTCAATTTGCCCGTATAATTTCGTACAGAATCCTTAATTCTCAGGAAATATTTCCTTCAACCTACCCATACAATTTAATATACAACCCTTCCCTACCAGTGCTCCTGAGAAGCTAATAGCACTTTCACAGTGTCATATAGCATGGTAGGGGCCTCCCGTGCTCCTGAGAAGCTAATAACACTTTCACAGTGTCAGATAGCTGCTCTGCAGTTTCTTAAATTGAAAATTTCCTTCAATCAGCTCATACAATTGCTTACTTCAAATCCGTGCGATACCACAAAATATTCCCCGTATTTTAAGGTAGAGATGCGTTATAAGAACGACAGTCAATCCCTCAGTGTGAATAGTGGGTGGTAGGATGCTGCTGAATCAGTAGTTCAAAATTAGAGACAGGGGCATACAGTCTTAGTAGCTGTAATATAACACAAAATAGATTTTTTTTTCAACTACAAACTTGAATACGGCGGCAAAATTTGAAATGTACACATACACATTTCAAAGTAGAGTATTAAAGGAAATTAGAGGTAATTTGTAGTTTTAAACCGTTAAAGGTTAAACTCGATTTAGGGTGGGCTTAGTGGTTAGCGTGCCCGAAATATGAACAAAAAAAAACGAGCTTTGGGGCCGTGTGAGTGTTGTAAAGTGACGGTCAAATTCAACTTTTCGGTCAAAGAAAAATATCCCGACAGTTTGTTATGTGTGATATTCCTTCCTTCTGCTCCATCAGTTCAAAATTGGGGCGGTTATGCACAGATAAACAAACAAGATTTGGGTCATGTTAAAGGCAGAAAACGAAAACTACACTTTTACAAAGATAGACAAAACATTTAGATGGTTGATACTCATGGTTAAAGTTGTGATTTGATGATTTTTTTCGTGCTTGAAATATTGATATTTGCTCAAAATAACGTTTTAAATACATATATAATGTTATACGTAATCAAAACCCTTTGGGACATTAAACGCCGGTCACTTCTCGCTTAAGCAGGCGACTCAAATAATCAAAACCCACTGTAACAAACATGTAGCTGTACATTGAACTGGTTAAAGTAGAGGGCATTGACCATCTCATGACAGTTCGTGTGCATCAATTAATTTACACACAGTTTAATCACCTCGGGACGTAACCGTCTTAAAAAACAAGTGAATTCGTGTTTAAGTAAATAACAGAAACTGTTGTAATATTCCGTTTTATACTGTAATATATATATATTGTAAATGGTATTCAGTTTGAAATGCTAAGAACTTCGTTTCGCTGGTAATTTTCAACTTCGCTTCGTAACTGTTAAAGTTAATTATGTTAAAACTTTCAGTTACGTTTGGTTTAGATAAATCGTGCCCTAATGGCACAGCGGTATGTCTGCGGACTTACAACGCTAGAAACCGGGTTTCGATACCCGTGGTGGGCAGAGCACAGATAGCCCTTGTGTAGCTCTATGCATAATTACAAACAAACAGATAAATCATTATTTGATTATGTGTTCAGAATAGGTCTAACATAAAAAATGTAAGATCATATCTATATCGTATTACGCTACAGGATTGTAAGGCAATAACAACTTACTCGATCTGGTGGTAAACTTTGTAATTTATGATATTTAAAATGTTAACTTTCATAAACAGATTCTTGCAGCAACAACAATAAAAAAAAAGAAGAGAATCGGACATATTTAAGTGCACTGAATGTTGTAGTTTAAACGCCGAAGCTGTAGAGTTCAATAGGCTTAAAATCTGTGATCTAATTTATATATATTGCGAACCGCGGTGTCTGTCCGAGCGTTCGTCTGTCTCCCGTTTGAAAATCTGCGCACGCAGGCAAACCTCAAACCTCACTTTCGAATTGACGGGTAAAGAGGCATGAATAATGTTAATATCAAATTTTATTTCGCAAACAGGACATTCTACACTAATTTGTTAGGACTTAATCACACTATCATTCACATTTCAAAATGTAGAATTTACTGTATGTTATTGCTCTTAGCATGGCTGAAATGCTCAACAATTAATTTTCGCGGTGGGTGGTATAAGTAGCTCAGAGTTCTGGCTCTGAATGGAACCAAGAGTGCAACACAGTTAACCTTATTAAAGTCCATGAAATAATTTAAGCTGATAGATTAACTTAAACTTTTTCCGTCACTGGGGACGGGTTCTTTTGCTTACTATCAAAGAAAGAAAAAGTAAAACTCATTAAGAATAATATTAACAAAATAAGATAAATTGAAAAAAGACATAAACAACAATGTACCTTATAATCATATAATATAATTTATTTACGAAAATTAACGATCAGGAAGGATACCGTTGCTCGATAATGTTGGGAAAAGAACTGATGAACATAACGTTTGATGATGCTTGTTTTTCCTGTTCCTAGTTCTCCAATCACCAAAATCTTGTACAGATGTTCTCTGCGTTCAGCTCTTTCAGTCTTAAAATAATAAACACATGTTGGAAACATTGGTAATCACACCTCATGTTTTACATCAAGTTAAAATTTAGATTCGTACAAAATTATTTACGAAAATATTAAGCCTACACCTAGTCTAATGCAATGCTGAAAATACGTTTAAATTTCATTAACGATCCACGAACTTGTTTGTTTCTTTTATAGTCATATTGGGCCGTCTACTGTATCCACTGTGTGGTATCGAATCCCGGATGTTAAGGTTGAAAGTCCCACTAGATCAACTTTCAATTTGTTGTGTGTACAAGTTTGCACATAGTTTAACAACAATGTATTGATTAATGGAGAATTTTCATTTTTAACTTGCCCATTACGAATTTTCAATAAGTACGGTTTAGTACACCAGTTCGAACGCTTAACTGACAGCCATATGTTGGATTAATAGTAGTTTCGTATGGTGTCTCTCACACCTTCAAATTATTTTGGTCCTGGTCCGGACACCGGTGTGTTTCGGTGTAACGGGGATTCGAACCCGCGACCGCAGATTAGGAGTCGAGAGCGGAATGTTGAAAATAATTTGTAGTTTTACTATGATACTGGCATCACCTGGTACGCTATAAAACTATGCGAGATGTTTCTTCCTTAAATAAACGTCAGAGTTTAATACCGCTTCAACTCGTAATGTTTTCTAACCTAGATTGTCTGATTAGGGACGGTGTTGAGCGAACGGTTTCGTACAAATAGTGTCATTCAAATACGTTTCACACACTTTTTTGATTTTTCACTAGGAATCTATATTGGGCTAGTTAAGAGTGATTTGTTTACAATTATCGTAATATTTCATCACATGTAGTATATCCTGAATGAGGATCACGAGTTGGCTCAATATGTATTATTGTTTAGCTTCGTTCATTCTTATTCCTCGTGTACTTAACTCTATACACTCATAATATCAACTCCGCGTGATATATGTATCATTCGGTTCCCTCAACTAGATTACAAAACGCCCAACCCTCCTCTGCTTTTGAATTCTATTTACTACAAGGCCATAACTATATTACCATAGGTTGAAATGTTCTCAACAATCTCGTTGTCATTGGATATGCTAACACGAACAAAGTCACAAGACTCTTCACGTGCTGATATTCACGCACAAGCTGGAAACATGCCAAACTTTTACTGAAATTATTATATTATTTATTTATTAAAACCCGTGACGGCTAAGCTGAATGCGATAATGGAGAAATCAAAATATAAAGGTACAAGTATATCGAGTTTCCTCAAAAACGTTTTGTAAGTAGGTCATAAGTCATAAGGTCATACTTATGTCATAAGTAGGTCTTATTTAGGTCATAAGTCATAAGGTCAAAGTTATGTTATAAGTAGGTCTTATTTAGGTCATAAGTCATAAGGTCATACTTATGTCATAAGTAGGTCTTATGTAGGTCATAAGTCATAAGGTCATACTTATGTCATAAGTAAGTCCCGGTCTACCGAGACTTTTACACTACAGTGTACGGTCTACCGAGACTTTTACACTATAGCGTGCGGTCTACCGAGACTTTTACACTACAGTGTACGGTCTACCGAGACTTTTACACTACAGTGTACGGTCTACCGAGACTTTTACACTATAGCGTGCGGTCTACCGAGACTTTTACACTTACAGTGTACGGTCTACCGAGACTTTTACACTACAGTGTACGGTCTACCGAGACTTTTACACTACAGTGTACGGTCTACCGGGACTGTTACACTATAGCGTGCGGTCTACCGATACTTTTACACTATAGCGTGCGGTCTACCGGGACTGTTACACTATAGCGTGCGGTGTTGGTTACTTACCAAACAATTACTTACAGACCGCAACGTTCGGTTTGTGATACCGAATCACAAAGCTCTACTACAAAATATTGTTTCGACGAGTGGGTGGTCTGAAATCTGTAATCGTCTCCAAATTTTAGAACAATTTGAGTAACATAAAAACGCGAGTTAGGCTAGAATAGGCGAATGATTGATTATTTTATTAGTCAGTGAACTTAGTGAATTACTGGAAGGGTTTGTTAGTGAATATTGCTGTAATTTGTGTAAGTTACTGTGATTTAGCTCAGTTTTGTAAATTTTTTGTTGTGTTTGACACAGAACGAAAATATGTGTGGTACGAGTAAATTAGTTAGTGGTATTAATGAGCTAATAAGAGACAATGAGGATTCACTCGTTTATTTAATGCCTCTATATTCCTTGAAAATAGCCTAACACAAAAATATCAAAATGTTGTATGTCTTCCAATATTCCTTACTGTAACATTTTATTTAAAAATGTATCAAAGTGAAAATAATAATAAGAAAAAAGTGGCCAAGTATTTGAGAAGCTGGAATTAACTTATCAGTATTATATGGAATGTAGATAATACTGTTACGTCTCTGTTCGTTAGTTAATTTTCCGTAAATTCGTTCCGACGAAACTTTACAACACAAGTCCTTTCTTAAATAAAACTGGTTTATTCTTTCTGAATATAACTTTGCGATACACTTAATTTCAACAGTCGCGCTATAACAACGAACTTCTCACGTGCTCAACTTCAATAATACTCAGTTCAATTACACACTCTTTGACTGCAGTTCAATTACTCATTGTTCCGTCACGTTGTGACCATCTTATATATACCAGGCTACCCCCAATCTAATAGTCTCCCGATAATTCACGAAGGTTCGAGAAGTACGTGGCGTGATACTAGTCACGTGACCTCGCTGACGCACCAATACTTAGAATCAACTGACGGAATAATTTTCCTAATTACTTATACAATCTTTTACCAAATGTTACCCAGTTTATTCGACATCCGTCATGTTAGCCTTTTTTTTTTTTTTCTATTTTGTTAACAATACTTTAGTAGTCAAGTTTTGCAGGAAAGTGTTGTAAAATTGTAACTCCAGTTCGTTTCTAAAAAAGTGAAGAGTTTGTTTTTAGTGCAACGCTACAACGGTCTATCTTCGTTCTGTCAACCGTGGGGAATCAAACCCAGGATTTTAGCGTGAACTTACTGTTGATCCACAGGGAGAGGGGTTAAAGTAAAAAGACTGCTACACCTCTAAAAGTTTGACCTAACTAGATAATGATACGTAAGGTCTTGACGTACATGATGGATGTCAACAAAGTACGTTCTTCTGCTAATTTATACCCAATACAGATTTCTTTTAACAAAGTTAAGTGTACCATGTATAAGACAAAATAAACTATATTTAACTACATTTTCTCCCTAGATGTGTTTACCGAGTTCAGTTACATGTGTTAACATGCTTTGTCAATAAAATATTTCAAAAATTAAAAACTTTTAAAAAGTTTGAGTTCAATGACCATAAATTAAACTGCTAAAAAAGAGGGGGGGAGGGGGATATTTCGGGCGATGATGTTCAGCATTAATGTTTGGGTTCCACAATAATTCGGCTGAAGTGTTAGTATTGATCATGTCAATCTCTTATTTATTGTAAAACATAAATGAAAAACAACACAGAAACGACAGAACAGGATACTGAAAGAAAAGGAAGAAATTGACAGACAGACAGACACTTATCAATATCCA